AATATTGTTATTAATATTTAATTAAATATAAAAAAATATGTATCTATATTTAAATATCTGATTTTTGAAACTTTAAACACAAAATCTGATTTTAGAATTTGAATCTCCAAATGTAGGGGTGGGTGTAATTTCCACTTTATTAAATACCCGAAAGTTTTGGGTCGGTTCGGGTATCTTCAGAATCGAACCGAACCGACCCACGGACAGCCCTAAAAATCGCAAACACATCCGCCACGGCCACCAGCACATCTAACTGCACAACCAACAAAAATACCCAACCATCACAACACCACCACCACTAGAACCGCACCCAACCACCACAACACCACCACCAACACTGCACACAACACCATCATCTACCCACCAAACACCATCATCGATCTGAAAGAGTCCCCAACTCCAGCAAGACCAGCACTACCATGTGAACACGGTAGAAATTGAGGGTAGGATAGAAGCGGAACTGGGGAAGGCAAAAATGGAGTGTCTCAATCTAATAAACATAACCGCCTCAACTACGATTCAGAACCAGATCCGGATTCCAACTCAGAATCTAGAAAATCGGAGGGCAGCAGAAAACGAATGAAGAAAAAGAATAAAACTCGAACCTCCATTTCCAAGAGAAAACGGTCAATAGATAGTGATTCCTACCCTTCATCGTCTGATTATGATGATTTAGTGATTCGGAGTCGGGCAGTTCACATTGCATCGATCTGAAAAGAGTCCCCAACTTCATCGCACATACCACCACAAACATAAACACCACCAACACCACAACCACACCAAACCACCACCACCACCAACACCACAACCACACCAAACCACCACCAACACCAACACCACAGATCCAAAATCACCACACACACACACACACACACCACAGTGCCACAACACACACCAAAATCACCATCCAAAACTCTTCCCCACCACACACCCACAGCAGCAGTGTCGAGGCGCTGCTGTGGTTTTAAGTTTATTTTTGCAAATATCAGGTAGTATATTAAAACCCTAATTTATCAATCCCGTCTCCATCCACAGCAGCGCCTCGACGCTGTGCAAGGCAACTCGCGATTCACAGTCGCGCGAGTGGAGATGGGAGGGAAAAGGAGGAGAGGAGGGAGAAGGGGAGGGAACGAGAACCCTGACAGTCGTGTCGCTGGTGGAGACGGGAAAGCGGGAGGGAGGGGGAGGGGGAGGAGAGGAGAAGAAGATGAGGAGACGAGAAATGAAAAATTAGGATGGAGACGGGATTGATAAATTAGGGTTTTAATATACTACCTGATATTTGCAAAAATAAACTTAAAACCTAATTTTTTAAAATGTATAC